GTTTCGGGCCGGGAGGGCGGGAGGGTCGCTCCGTCTGGGCCCCGCCTCCGTCCGTCCGTCCTTCAGGCCGTCCGCGCAGCCGTTCGGGTGAGGGGTCCTCTGGGCAACGGGCCGTCCTGGGTCGGGGCCTGGGGAGGAGGGCGTGGCTTGTTTAGGCCGCGGCTAGGGCTGGAGGGTGGGCCTAGGGAAGCGTGGGGGCGTGGCTCACAGGGGAAGGCGTGGCTGCGGCGAGGGGCGGGACAGGGGGCGGGGCCGGAGCGAGGGGTTGGATTCCGTGGCCGGCTGGTCCGCCTGGGTATGGAGCGTGGACTTCCACGTGGGTCCTCTGGGAAGTTCCTGGAGCAGAGAGCGGGGCTCCTCTGGCCCCAGCGTGTGTGTGTGGGGACAGACCTCGACTCGCACAGCCCTGAAGAAGAGGCTCAGGCTAGGGGGCCTGTTTCGGAGGAGGCGCGGTGGCTGAGTTCTGCCACCATGAAGGTCAAGGTCATCCCCGTGCTGGAGGACAACTACATGTACCTGGTCATCGAGGAGCACACGCGGGAGGCTGTGGCCGTGGACGTGGCCGTGCCCAAGAGGGTGAGGGCAGGCTGTGGACGGCAGGGAGCGTCCGCCACCACCACCCTGGCTGTAGCAGACCTTTCCCTCATCCTCTGCTCTCTGTCTGGTCGTTATTTGGTGTTCAGCGTTCCTTGATTATCTTAGGGCTCCCCTGCAGCTGGGGCCGCCTTTGGCTTCTCTGCCCCTCGGGTGCCTAACAGTTCCCGCACACGCTGGGCGCTCAGTCCTGCCCGCCTGGGGTGCTGTAAACGCCGGATCTGGCGCCCCGGTGGGGAGGGCTCACCACATCTGTCCCTTTCAGCTGCTGGAGGTCGTGGCCCGGGAGGGGGTATCTCTAACCACGGTGCTGACCACCCACCACCACTGGTGAGCGCGGGCGGGGCGGGCCCAGGCGGTGGGACGCCACCCATCGCTCCCAGACATGACCTCTCTCTGGCCGGTCTGTAGGGACCACGCGAGGGGAAACTCGGAGCTGGCGCGGCTGCGGCCGGGGCTGGCCGTGCTGGGCGCCGACGAGCGCATTTGCGCGCTGACCCGCAGGCTGGCTCACGGCGAGGAGCTGCGGGTGAGTGCGCGGGGGGGGGGGGACGCGGGAGGGCGGCCGGGCACATCCGCCCTCACGGCTCCACCCGCCCCTCCGCAGTTTGGGGCCATCCACGTGCGCTGCCTCCTGACGCCCGGCCATACCTCGGGCCACATGAGCTACTTCTTGTGGGAGGACGAATGCCAGGACCCACCCACTCTGTTTTCGGGTACCCGCAGCCCGGAGCTCGCCCACCCCTCCTCCCTCCGGCCCCGCCCCATCTTCATGACCCGCCCTCTTCCCCAGGGGACGTGCTGTCGGTGGCCGGCTGCGGCTCGCGCCTGGAGGGGACCGCTCAGCAGATGTACCAGAGCCTGGTTGAGACTCTGGGCAACCTACCCCCCGAGACGGTGAGTGGGCCTGGGCCCTCTCCCTCCGTGGGATCCAGCCCCAGCTTCGTGCTGTGCGACCACGCTGCGCCGGGGATGCCCGTGGCAGGCGGGCGAGGCTGGGGCCGCCCGAGCGCTCCCCGTGCAGCGCTGTGCGTCCTGAGCGCCTTCGTTCTCTAGAAGGTGTTCTGTGGCCACGAGCACACACTCAGCAACCTCGAGTTTGCACAGAAAGTGGAGCCCTGCAACGACCACGTGAGAACCAAGCTGTCCTGGGCCCAGGTATGTCACTCCTTCTTTCTCTCAATGGGGAGGCTGGAGGGTGGGGGAGGACAGGCATCTGCTTCCTGGAGTTTGGATTTTGGGACCAAGAAAGGCACCACAGGGGAGTCAGCCATGACTGGCCTCAGGTGAGTGGACCTGGCTCAGGGCCTGGGGTGCACTGCCCTGCCCTGGCTCCCTTGGCAGCCTGAGCAGCTTGCCTAGGGCTGTCAGACAAGACCCAGTTGTGACAAGGGCCTGTGGTCATTCCAGAAGAGGGATGAGGACGACGTGCCCACAGTGCCTTCGACCCTGGGCGAGGAGCTCCTCTACAACCCATTCCTGAGGGTGGCGTGAGTATGACTGTCGACCCTGGGGCTTTCCTGTGGGCAGGGCCCAAGCCAGCGCCTTGCTGCAGGCAGCCTCAGGAGGCCTCATGCCTGGCCCTCCGGGGCTTCCCTGTGGAGTAGGCTGGTGGAGGGCTGGAGGGTTGTTTTTGGGGAACTCCTTCTAGTCATTTGGATACTTAGGAAGGTGTCTGGGGATCATTTATGGGCTGAGTGTCCTTGGCACCGGGGGAGGCAGCTTAAGTGCCATACTGCCAGGGTGTTCCTGGCTCCCTCCAGTGGCACAGGCTGCTGGCCAGCCCAGCAACTCCCTACTGTTCCCCTCCTCCACAGAGAGGAGCCAGTGCGCCAGTTCACTGGCAGAACAGTCCCGGCTGAGGTCCTGGAGGCACTCTGCAGTGAGCGGGCAAGCTTCGAGCAGGTGGCCAAAGTGCTGCAGCCACAGGCTCGGGCACTCCTGGCGCTGCAGCGGGGGCTCCTGGGCTCACCTCAACAGAAGTGAGCCCCATGTGGGGAGTCTCCACCTCCATCCTCCTGCGACCCTTGGGCCTGCCCCCGGGGCACTGTCCAGCTGGCCACCCAGCTTTGGAGGGTCAGCAAGCAGACCCTTTGCCTTGGGCGCTTCCTGGGAGGGAACACGCAGGGCAGAACCTCCTCGTGGGGGCCCTGAGAGCCAGGCGTCGAGGAAGCAGCTTAGTGGGTGCACAGGGTATGTGGACGGTGAATAAAGCTTTGAGAGACCCTTCTCAACGTCAGCAGAAGCCGTTCTCAGAGCTACTCTGTGCGCTTTATGAGGAGATCCCTTTATTAGAGGTGAAGCTCAGTGGGAAACAGGTCTGGTGGGAATCCACGGACACAACTCAGCAGGAAAAGCCTGGCACCCACTGGTGCCTCCTGCTTCACACATGGACATGGTTGAGAAGACATGGGCACTCTAGCTCTGCTGGCTACAGCCTCACAATAAACACCTGGTTTCCAGGGGGACCAGGGACCCCCTTCCTGCTGGTGTGTAGCTGGAGCAGCTCAGCAGGCCATCTGCTCTCTGCAATGCAGCTTCAGGGGTGACTCCAGAAGTCAGGAAAGAGGAACCCCACTTTTGCTCTGCCTTAAGCACCCATGGGACTGGCTGTCCCCGCTCTTGGATCACCATGACCAAGAAAAGCAAGGGCATGTGGGTCCCAAAACGCCCACGGACCTCAACCCTGGGCCAGGGGAACAGGTTCTGGAACCCTATAGGACTTCCACCCTCCTCAGCCACCCCCCCAACCCAGCAGAGGCAGTTGGGAGTCTTGGAGTACAGGCCAGAGGTCACGTTTATGACTGTGGGTCCTGACCCCAGTCCTGCATGTAGTTGGCATAATACTCTTAACATATCCCGGTAACTCACTCTGAAATCTGGGGGAGTGCTGCGGTCTTGGGGCATGTGACCTCGCTGCTGGGCACCCCACATTCTTCTTGACAGTGGTGTTGCTGGCCTCGGGTGGGCTCCGGCAGACCATTGTCACCCCTACCACCTGATGCCGAGGCCAGAGCTGGCCTTCTCCACGGTGTGGTACTGTGTGTGCAGCAGGTGGCTGGCCTGCTCCGAGCCCTCACCCTGCAGCCAGTGCCTGTACAGCTCCTGTACCCCGGCTGCATCCTCAGGCGCCTCCACCCTGACCATGCCATACAGTCTCTCCACATGCTGGAGGAGCTCCCTGCTGGGCACGTCTGGGGACTTGAGTTGGCCACCGCCATTCAAGCAGCCTGTGGCAGGGCAGACAGACAACAGCATGGTCACCGCATATGCCCCCTTCCCAAGCCTCGTGACTGCCTGGGAGTGGGGAGGAGATGCGCTCTACATTCCACGTCCTGCCTCTCCTGCCCTGGAGGGTTGTTGCCTGTAGATCTGGTCCCAGCAAGGGTCCCAGCAAGGGCCCCAGAATGTCCTGTGCCCTCGGAAGAGCTACCTGCAGGACAGGCCATGACCTCCACGTAGTGGTAGGGGCAGCGCCCACGCTTGAGTTTCTGCACCAGGTTCTGGATGTTGCGGAAGCCGTATGCCATGGCAAAGTGCAGAAGCACCTGGCCCTCTCTCTCCAGCGTCACCTCCTGGAAGTCCTTGTTCCTGGGGGAGGTACAGACTATGCTTGTCCATGTGGCACCCCTGCCAGGCTCCCACCCACCCAGAGGGGAGGCCTGCTGGGAAGGGGATGAGCAGGCGGCTCCTGGTCCTCTCTGTCTCTCTCTCTCTCTCTCCTGGGCAGGGGTGGGGAGGAGATGGAAGGAGAGGGCAGAATGCTCACTCATGAGCTCCACAGGTGACCTTGCCCCCAGCCTCCATTTCCTTATCTGTAAAACAGGAATCCCTCCCTCCTAAGGAGGGAGGCTGGACTCAAGGCCCTGGACATTCCTCTTGGGATGCTGTGTCATGGCCCGCCATTGCCCCAGTGCCCCATCCCATCCCACTGACCTCAGGGGTCTGTAGGTGACCTCGGCCACATGGATCCCAAAGAGCTCTTGGGCTGCGTGCCGGAACACATGCTCCAGGTAGCCCCCAGAGCCCCCACCCCGATGGCTGGTGGGCTCCTTGGCAGACATGCTGCTGGACCTGGGGAGGGGCAGGTTAGTGTGGGCGAGAGGACAGGGCCTCCTGGAGCTGCTGTCCGCTGAGGCTCTGGGTGACAGAGCCTCTGTCTCTCGAGCCGGAGAGCGTTTGCTTTTCAAAGCGGGAAACAAGTCACAGACACAAAGGAATGGCCCGTCATGACCCAGGGACTCTGTCAGAGTGCCTGAGGCACAGCCATCCTGCCACTGTGTCCTGGGAGCTCAGACCTGTGTACAGCTGTGCCCTCCTCTCCTCTCCCCCGCCCTCAGCTTCCTTCTGGTGGGTTCCATGACTCCCCCACAGCCTGTCTCAGTGTCCACAGAAGTGGCTGAGTTCACATGACCAATGGTGGACAGTCCGTTGCCGGACACGGAAAAAGACAAAAGACAAAAAAAAAAAAAAAAAAGAAGATTGCTTAGCTAACATAAATCAATAAATAGTTTTTGTGATGATCACTACTCTGTTTTTCACTATACACTAACTGTGAATTGTGGTAAACTTAGTGAACTGCACCAGTGCTGAGTTAATATTTACTACTAGAAAAGCAATCCATTTTTTTTTTTTTTTTTTGTCTTTTGTCTTTTTCCGTGTCCGGCAACGGACTGTCCACCATTGGTCATGTGAACTCAGCCACTTCTGTGGACACTGAGACAGGCTGTGGGGGAGTCATGGAACCCACCAGAAGGAAGCTGAGGGCGGGGGAGAGGAGAGGAGGGGGATGCTGCCCCAGCCTAAGAGGCAGCATTTGAGGCCAAAATAAAGGTTCTTGAGTTCTGACAACATACCACCCCCTCCATCGTGACCGACTTACAGGCCGTCCAGAGGGGCTGGCTCCAGCTCTGACAGTGAGATGCCTTCCTCTTCTAGCAACTTGAAAACTTCTCCTGCGATGAAACCATAGCACACTCTTTAGCGAATCTCAATAAACAACATCAAGGAACATCCACGTTATCTGCACCCCTAGCCACCTGCAACTTGGCCTCAGAGGACCTCTAACGTCCACCCTCTGGCTTGTGGGTGGGAGGATGAACTTGGCCACAGAAGTGAGAAAGAAGACCCCACTTCTGAAGACCCTGGGAGGACCACCTTGTCCCCGCCCCGATGTGGGGCGGTGCATGGTGGGCAGGGTCACTGTGCTTTTCCCGTGCTCTGTCTGTCCAGCCTCCTGGGCAGTTTATTTTCCTGTCTTGAAAGTGCTCAGGAGGGGCCGGCCCGGTGGCGCACTGGATAGTGCGCTGCTTGGGAAGTGCGGCGGCGCTCCCGCCCGAGGGTTCGGATCCCACATACAGACCGGTTCCCGCTCACTGGCTGAGCGAGGCGCGGGAGCAACACCGAGGGTTGCGATCCCGTTGCCGGTCCCCGGTCCGGTACGGGGGCAACACTGAGGGTTGCGATCCGTTGCCAGACACGGAAAAAGACAAAAAAAAAAAAAGAAAGTGCTCAGGAGACTCTGTGAGGCTGCTCGACACAGAAATAGGGTGAGTGCATGGCCAAGGGTCTGGGCTTGGGCACCTCCATCCACCTCCTGCAGACGCATTTTAGAGCCATGGTGAGGACTACTGGGCTCCCTCCAGCCACAGGTCCCTGACATGGGTCAACTGTGTGGCCCAACCTAGTTCTGAAGAGAGAAATGAGGAAGTGCCTGTGAGCCCCCCACCTCCCACCAGGCGCCGGGCTCCAGCTAGAGTCACATGGGCAAGATCCTGGGCAGATGCCGCCCGTGCCTAGGCTCAGAGCCCTGCCACGGGCCAGTACCTGTGGTGAGGACACAGTCCACATCCCGAGTCTGGTACTCCTGGTTGAAGAAGTCGGGTCTGGATGCTTCCAGCTTCTTGTCATAGCAGGGCATGACTGTAACATGGTAGACCTTGTCGGGGGTCAAGTGCTACGTGGAGAAATATGGACATGAGAGTTGCTACCTGATCCCAGCACTAACATGGCCTCATGTCATTTCCCAGAAACCTTCCTGACGATTCTGTGGATGTGTCCGTGGACACTATGGGTCCTGGATCACCTTCCAAGAAATCACACTGACCCAGTCATGGCTGGTCTCTGTTCCCCAACAGAGCCAACCCCACAGAGGACATGGGGTCTCTGTAGGGACACCTCACTACTCAGTAGTCCTGGAGGTCAGATAGGAAAGAGCAAATCATGGAGGAACAAACAGACTTGGGGGAAAGTCCGGCCGCATGCGGTAGAGGGAAGACAGCGCAGCAATGAGAGTAACCAGTGAGGCGCGGCCCAGGAGGCAAACACCACCAGACTCCGAGCAACCCCTTTCTGGTGCCTCCAGAAGGCCACGTGGCCAGACAGGGGCTCTTTGCCTCCCCCGGCCTCACAGCCAGCAGGCACCATCCCTCTGGCCCCTCCCTAGTGTGCTGCCTGGGATGGCCCAACGCTGTTACCTGCTGCTGGGCAAAGAAGTCCTTGACCAGAGCGCCCATGACCTGCTGCGGGGACCGCACAGTGCTGAGGAAGGGGATGATGAAGCTTCCGTGGGTTTTCTCGGCGTAGCAGATCCAGCCTGAGGCAATGGGGCAGGCAGGGTTTGGTGGAGGCACAGGGCAGGCCTGGGGGTGTCTCACAAGCAGCCTTCTCCCCGAGTGACAGTGACATGACATTCTGGGGGTGGACCAACTCATACAAGAAATCATGATGACATGAAAGAGTGTTCCCACTCTATCACCACCATCATGTGGATTTTTAGCATCCAGGTGATTGTCATTTCAGAGGACTGCAGTGACTACAGGTGACCCCCAAGGCCCCCGGGAAGCTCCTGCTCCAGAAGAGGACATTTTGCACCCACATTTCTTTTTCTTTTGTCCTGTTTGAGACCGGCTGCAGCGCGCTCAGCCAGTGAGTGCACCGGCCATCCCTATATAGGATCCGAACCCGCGGCGGGAGCGCCGCTGCGTTCCCAGCACTGCACTCTCCCGAGTGTGCCACGGGCTTGGCCCTTTTGCACCCACATTTCTGACCCATGGAACATGGCCCCCTGGCTTCCTCCCACCCGCCACTCCTGCTACCCATGTCCAGCCGTTGATATCAACATAAGTTTTAGCCTCGCTTGACTGTGAATCTCACACTGTCCATGCAGCCATCAGCACACCTGGGCAGGCAGAGGCCAGCATGGGCAGGGCCTGTTTGGAGCTGGCCTGTTCTCGGAATCGGCGCACGAATTCTCTCTGGCTTTCAAGGAGGCTGAAGTTCCTTGAGAAGGTGGTGTCAAAGACGAAGTGTGCCCCTGGAAGGGAAGTGTCCATCTTAACCCACCAGCGACAGCTGACCCAACCACAGCTGGAGCCAGCATCCCAAATGCCCCAACCCTGTGCTGGCCATGGTGGGGGCTGCACTGCTGATCTGCCTCCTGGTGGCACCTCCGTTTCCAGAGAAGCCACAGGAAGCAATGCCCTAAAGTGTCACAGCACATGCTGGCTTGTGGGTGACCGTGCTGCTGCCCAGGAGGCTGCGTGTGATAGCACATCCCTTGCGTGAGCAGCGCCAGCCGGGGCCGGAGCATCAGCCACTCTGTAGCGCATTCTCATACTCTGCGTTGTCTTGGCATCCATTCTAAGGGGAAGTGTAACTTTCTCAGTCACCCTGGACACGGTTTCTAGTTTTCCATGCCCTCCAGTTCCTCAGTGTGGTGGACCCACATATGTTGGGAGCGAGCAGCCCCACTCTCCTCTTTGTGTGGCAGTGCTTATGTGACAGTTGCCTCGCAATCTGCTTGTGCCAGAAACTGCTTGCTCCTGGCTATGCAAGTTAATTTGCAAGTGACCTTTTATCCTTTCTGTTTAACCATAAACATTCTGGGCAGCATGCAAGTGACCTTTTATCCTTCTCCAGAAACTGTTTAACCATAAACATTCTGGGCAGCAACCTTTACTTTGAATGTCCTGTCTTTGTTTCTCCTCAAGATGTTATCATATCTTTACATTCCAGACCCTTTGCAGCATGCCTGCTTTTTCCCTATATAAGCTGTAACTTTCAAACCAATAAACGAGACTTGATCAGAATACTGTCTTGTCTCCATTTCTCGCGTCTCTTGCTTCCATCCCATTCCCACTCCCCACTCCAGGGTCTGCGCTGAATATCCCGCGGGTTAGGACACACATACAACCTTATAAAGCTGCTCCTGACATTTATCACTATATACAGCCTACCTGATGGGCCCGGGACCCCACACCCGCACAGGCTGTGCAGATATGTGGCTGGAACTCGTGCGAGCCAGCTGTCAACCCACCAATAACACTTCCCAGGGGAAGCCTGTTTGGATACTGCCCAGGACCCAATAAAGGTGTTGGCCCACAGGTCCGTCTCTGTCTGCCCGACCTGTCATTCCTGCCTCATGTGACCAGGACGGAGGATGGCCCTCCCAACTCACTGCACCCTCCCTGCTTGTAACAGAAAACTTTGAACTTGTCCCTGTTGTGGTAGGCAATGAACGTGCACTTCCATCTGAGAAAAGGAGCTGCTCAGGCCAGGGTTCCCAGGTCACCGAGAGGATTACAAGGTGGGGCTCCCAGTGCCAAAGCAATGGTCAGGCAGCTGTGAACTAGACATGGGCCAGACAAGAGTCACACAGCACCTGCCATTATAAACAAGTTTCCCGTGTGAGGGACCCCCAGTAGTGGGTGGGACGATGAGGTGTTAGGCAGTCCCCAGGTAAAGAGGTACCTGTGAGCAACTACGTCCAGTTGCCCTTCATTTCCTGTTAGGGCAGGTTGCCAACCGCTCGGTGTGGGACCCCAATTTAGCTGGGGGCTCTCAAAACACCCATGTCCCCACCCAGCTTCCAGCACATAGCTGACCTGAGCCTGAACCCAACACAGCCCCGGGAAACGTGCCCTAACCAGCACCACTCTCAATCATTAAACCAAAACTTTAAGTCAGAGCCAAACCAGGAACAGAGAGTTTCTGTGGTGTTCAAGTTTAGGGTTGAGTGATGTGAAGAGCCCCCACCAGGCAGACGCCCCGTGTTTTGGAGCCGCCATGTTCATCCGAGGTTGTGCACCTACCTATTTTTTTAAAGAATGAAGTTAACTTCCTGGCAGTGTCTGTAGGACTCAGCTGAAACCTTGCAGCCAGTGATGCTCTGGACTGTGGCGAGACTGAAATGACCACCAGCCTCTGCTGACCTGGTGCCGCCATCTGCAAAGCAGGGTGGGCGCTGCTTACCCTGCAGCTCTTATACAGGCTCCCAGTGGGCCGATGTTGGTGTGGATGCCACCCTCTGCAACCTCTTGGCTCCACCAAGGCCCATCACTGGATATACATTTAGAACCCAAAGTGTAGGACCCAGCACTTGCAATGCTGAAGAATACCAACAAGTAATTCACCAAAATCCCAATGACAGACTTAAAGACACAGGAGTTGCCCCAAAATGCAGGATGGGTGGCCTCAGGAGATGAGCTGCTCCTGACGAGTTGTAGGTTGTGGGGGTGGATTCAGGCAAAGCAGAGTCTCCCAGGCACCCACCACTTACCTTATTAGCTTCTAGAACCTTCTGTAGTTCCTCATGGCTCTGCTGGGTGATGAGCACAGTCTCTGCTGAGGTGACGCAGCCACTGCATGCCAGGCAGTCGTTCAGTGAGATCTTGGCCTTCTCCAGCTTCCGGGTCACACCATCCTGTGAAGGAGTGAGAGCCCGTGCATGGGAGGTCCCTCTGCAAAGGGACACAGAGCTCTTGGGGTAACAAAGCCCACAGGGAACCTTTGTTCTTTCACTCATAATGCCACAGACAACCAGTGTGGTCACTGACTGGGTTCATGTACCACTCAAGTTTTGAAAAATTAGTTGCTACAAAAATGCTTAATTCACATTGTAGATTTTCATATTGCCCTCAAATTCTACCTTTTGGTAGAATCACGTGAATAAGGCTCACTGTGCATTAAATTGGCAGAGAAGCAGCTGATCTGCCCACCCACAGGTCCTGCAGGGCCACTGGTCCCCAGTCTGTGTGCTCACGGGGCATGGGGGCAGGGAGACACCAAAAGTGGGGATGAAGGAAGGACAGAGGGACACGGGAGAGAAGAGATAAGCAGAGGAGGAAACATGGGAGCCTGGCTCCAAGGGAGTGGGGAGAGGGCTGTAAGGGGCCACGCAGACACAGGACCATGGTGCTCAGGTCGGTGCCTCCAGGGTGACCCTTGGCTACTTTTCTTTTTTTCTTTTTTTTACTGACCGGTAACGGGATCGCAACCCTCGGTGTTGCGCCCGCACTGCGCTCAGCCAGTGAGCAGGAACCGGTCTCCACATGGGATCCGAACCCTCAGCGGGAGCGCCGCCGCGCTCCCAAGCGGCGCACTCTCCAGTGCGCCACCGGGCCGGCCCATACTTTTCTTAGATTAAAAAAAATCCCAGCCTGAGCCCCAAATCCCCCTGCCAATGCAGGAATGGTTTAAGCCAGGGTCAGGCAGGCTGCAGGAGCCCGGAGTGTGACCTGAGTTGTGATTGGACTGGGCCAGAACCCCCCCAGCCAGCTGTCCACCAGGGCTGCAGGCTGCACCACAGGCACAATTTGAGCTCAACCCATATTTTTATGGTTTGATCTGCATAAAGGCCCAAAGGCTTGGGTTGGCATGCTGTGCCGAGTGGGAGCCAGTGAACTCTCTCCAAACCAAGTGCTGCTCTGGAGAGCGGGGCCCACGGGCACCCAGTGCCTTCCCTCGGTCCCTTCATTCGTGGGACCTTTTGTGAGAACCAGGTCCTCCCAGCTACGCCCAGGCATGGCTCAGGCAGGTGCCGTGTGCTACAAGGTCACCCTCCTGGACCAAGCATGCAGCTAGCCCTTTCTCTGTGTCCACTTGATCCTGCTGATTGTCCTTCATGAGATCTGCACCCTCCCGCCACCTGCCCTACAGTTCCTTCTCCACCTGGGAAGGGTTCCTGGGCCAGGCTGCCAGTGCTGGGCTGGTAATTGTTTCTCAGTGCTGCTGATCACGGGACTGTGCAGATGTTCACGAGAGTCCAAATGGCAGACAGTTGGGGATGGGTTTTAACACCGTTACATCAGGGTCTTATCACTTAATTAGAGAGGAAGTAGGTGTTTTCTAAGAACAAGGGGTCTGAACCAGAAAATGTTATGCAATTAGGACTGAGAGAAGCATGCAGACATTACCCACCACCTCTGCAAAAGAGCCTCCTTGCAGGAAAAGTCAGCTCCCTGTTCAGCCTGGGGGCTCCCCATTCACCATTCACAGGCACCCTGACCCCCCGCCTCCTGATGGTCAGCGAATTTGACCAGCAAGAAAGGACTAGCAAGACATGGGAAGTCTCAAGGTGACTGCATTCGTAACTGGGTGAAGTAGAGAAAAGCATGTTTTAGGTCATCTGAGCTAGCAGCTGTGGGGACACCTCCTGTGACCTACTTGACTGACTTGGAAGTAGCTCCCATCGTCTTCGATGTGGATCTTGGCCACACCACTTCCCAGCCTCTTCTCCAACTTCACAGGCTTGATGCAATCCTACACCAGGAAGAGACCCCCAAACCAGGGTCTGTGAGTAGGCGGAGTCTCCCGAGGATGCCAGGCCTCAAGGATGTGGTCCAACGGCCACACGGCATGAAGGCTCTACCCTGAGCGGAATACTCGGGGACTGAGGCTGGTCCCACTGCCTTCCTGCCACGGAAGCGGCATGAGCACTGGCTGCCTAACGTACTCTCACATTGGTCACAGGCTTCTAACATCCTGCCGATACCCAAACGTCACTCACTCCGCAAGTCCCAGTCAGCACAAAGGCTGCTGCTAACTAACAGTAGCAAACTACCTGTCTGCAGAGACACCACCAGCCCTGACCTTCACCCGAAGCCTGGGCTTGGCAGGACTGCTCTGCTTGGGAACATCTGGAAGCAACCTCCCTGCCCAGCACCCCAGGAAACAGTGCATTTCTTTCCCCATCTCCTTGAGAACTTGCTACGAGAACTCTGTCAACCACTGCCTTCCAGAAGATGACCAGCCCCAGCAAGCCCCAGCAGGAGGACTGCCCCCACTTCATCCCTGCCCAAAGTGCTGCTGACCAGTCCCACTCTCCGCCTGCTCCTGATCCTTAGCTGCGGACCGCCAGCTCTGGCCCCTGAGAGCTGTTGGCATTGATAGGTAGGCACACCCAGATAAGGTCGACACCAGCTGTCTGGTCTCCTCCCCAGGGCGACGTCAAGGGCTGTTTACTGCGGTGCTTCAAGCGGACCAACGCGTCTGCCCTCATAGCCATGGCGGGATCATCACTGTCCCCGTTTATACAGATGAACCGTAATCAGAGAGAGTGGCCTGAGGCCTGGCGGGATGTCCCTGAAGATGTGGAGAGGCGGCCCAGCCCCAATCCTGTCTCCCCCCATCCTGAGTAACTCTTTTTTTTTTTTTTTGCCGGTAAGGGGATCGCAACCCTCAGCACAGTGTGGTCAGCACCACGCTCAGCCAGTGAGCGCACCGGCCATCCCTATATAGAATACCGAACTCGCGGCCTTGGAGCTACCAGCGCCACTCTCTCCCGAGTGAGCCATGGGGCCGGCCCAGTAAGTTTATTTTTAAGTAAACAATTCCTTCCCC